ACGACCACACTACTAACTGGATCATGCTGCTAACAGGTCCACACTGCTAACAGGATCACACAGCTAAAAGGATCATGTTGCTAAAAGGGCCATGCTGCAAACAGGACCATGTTGCAAACAAGACCATGGCGCTAACACGACCACACTGCTAACAGGACCACACTGCAAACAGGACCATGCTACAAACATGACCTCACTGCTAACAGGACCATGCTGCTAATGGAACCACATTGCTAACAGGACCACAGTGCTAACAGAACCACACTGCTAACAATACCATGCTGCTAACAGGACTGCACTGCTAACAGGACCATGCTGCTAACAGAACCTCACTGCTAACAGAACCACTCTGTTAATAGGGCCATGCTGCTAACAGGACCACACTGCTAACAGAACCACATTGCTAACAGGACCACAATCCTTACAAAACCACACTGCTAACAGGACCATGAATCTAACAGAACCTCACTGTTAACAGAACCACACTGCTAATAGGGCCATGCTGCTAACAGGACCACACTGCTAACAGAAACACAATGCTAACAGGACCACAATCCTTACAGAACCACACTGCTAACAGGGCCTGCTGCTAACAGGACCACGCTGCTAACAGAACCTCACTGCTAACAGAACCACTCTGCTAATAGGGCCATGCTGCTAACAGAACCACATTGCTAACAGGACCACAATCCTTACAGAACCACACTGCTAACAGGACCATGAAGCCAACAGAACCTCACTGTTAACAGAACTACTCTGCTAACAGGACCATGCTACTAATAGTAACAGTGTTTTTATAATACTATATTTATTTCAATTTCTTTTTTATTTTTGTATATTGTTGTCTGTACTCTATATGTATAAAACAGATCCCTCTTAAAAATATGACTCACTGAGACTGCCTGTAGCTATAATGTTAAATAAAATAAGTAAGTGCTAAATCTGCATCTTGTGCAGACGTTCAGTTTGGCCTCCACAGATGTCTGGCATTCTACTGCCTTTTCATTGTGGCGTCTCATCAATCAAAAGTGATGACACGGCTTTTCATAGTCCTCCATTGTTATTCTCATGACAAGGTTTGTTGACAAAGCTTACAGAGGAGAGGTGTGTTGAACATATCGAGATCAATGGTTAATATTACCCGGAACCATGAAAAGGACCTTTATGTGTATTTGTCCATTAGGAAAATACGTCCTGAACCACTGGATGAATTTAATGAAACTCTCAGAAAGTAATCATCAGATCTATATCTACACCATTCAGTCAACCTGATTTAAAATGGTTGACAATTAATTAACAAGCAAATGCAAAAAAATAAAAAATAAAAACAACTCAGTCAATAAAATAAAAACCTCCTCGTGCATCTAAAATATTTCATCTTTTGTTTTGCCACCTTTATGGGCAATCCGTACCTAAAGGTTTCTTCACGTGTTAGTTTGTATCACCTTTTATGCCAAAATAGTTTGGATTTGGCGTTTTTGCTTTCTTGGGTCATTTTTTAAAGATGAACGTTTTCTGTACAGAGGACAAGTCAGGAGTGCAGGCAGGTCAGTTCAGTATCTGTACCCTCGTCCTCCTCAGCTCTACCTTTGTAACCTGCAGAACAGGGTTTTGCATGATCTGGCTGAAACATGCATGAATGTAGGTATGGTGTTGAAGGCAACACTCACTGGTCACTTTTTTATGTCCACTTGTTCAACTGCTTGTTAACTCAAGTAGCTAATCAGCCGATCACATGGCAGCACCTCAGTGCCTTTAGGCATGTATCTGTGGTGAAGACTTGCTGAAGTTCAAACCGAGCATCAGAACGAGGAAGAAATGTTTCTAAACTAATGCACGTTAGCTGAGCTCATATTGTAACCGGTGGTACAAAGATGTTGCTAATGTATCTGCTAAACTGAGTAAACTTTTGACTACACGAGTGGATCAGGTGGACTGATTCATTCACCAGCGACATGATGTACATGGTGTAAGCTCAGCACACATACGATCATGTAGTAACAGTTCAGTTAAAAACTGGAACAGTGTAAACGTGTACTGGTTTATCTGCTAATATCGTGTGTATTCTCTCCAGGATGACATTTAGAAAAAAGCGTGGCCTTGTAATCCTGAAAAGCAATAAACAAGCAAAACAATGATGTCCCCCGTCGCTGAGGGATTTAAATAGTTTGTAGTTTTCAAGATGAGTGTTTTTCTAGTCTGGAACTGAACAGGAAATATAAGGAAACCTTAAGTTTTTGGTGCAAGATATTCCAGCAGGTAGGAGTTAAACTGTGTAGAAGAACAGAGGCAGTTTTTGTTTGTTTGTTTGTCCGAGGCGTCGCAGAATGTTGGATCCTGGTGAGCGGAGGGACCAATTCACTGGCTACCCAAATCATTTGAGGAACCGCTTTTAAGCAAAATAAAAACTGGAAAAAATAATTTCCTTAAATGATCAGTGTGGCCAGTTTATATTTATATACGTGGTAGCCATCTTGGATTTTGGCGTGGCAACCCTATTTTTGATAATGATTTTTCGTACGCCTAGATGCAGCCACACACCAAAGTTGAAGTTGATGCCTCACTTATGTTTCAAGGTATCCAGCTCATAAGGTTTACATATATGCATGTGGTGGCAGCCATCTTGGATTTTGACGTGGCAACCCAATTTTCGAAAGAAACCTTTCTTACGCCTAAATGCCGACAATGCACACAACAAACTGGAAGTCACTACCTCACTTATCATGCTCACAACACCGATGGAAGGTCTAATGGAGGATATTTCCATTTCTCCCTCTTTGCTTCGTGACAGAGAACTAAAAGAGCCCTCAGTTGGCTAGCGCTAGCCAAGCCTGGAAGACTTGCCTTTTTCTTCACACTCACTGTTCTATGTGTATATGTCTATGTGTCATGATGTAGAGGCAGGGCAGCCGGCTTGGGACCCGAAAGTCCCAGGTTCGATCCCCAGTCACTGCATATCACGTGGTGTCTCTGGGCAGCACACCTCATCCCCAAAATGCCCCCCGGATGCTTTCAATAGCTGCCCACTGCACCACCTGGTGGTGGATGGGTTAAATGCAGAGACTAATTTCGCCATTGTATGGAAACATACAGTGCTGACATTGTGATGACATTATTATTATTATTATTATTATCTGTGTGAATCTGTTTTACCTGTTTCAGAGCTTCCTCAGTGTTGTCCCTTCAGTTAGTTCCCACTCTCACCTGTTCCTCATTGTCTCTCCCCAGGTGTTGTCATTTCTCCCTCATTAGTTTCCCTTTATAACCTGTGGTGTTCTTGTCTTTTGTTGTCCGTGCGTTATGCTGTATAGCTGTTCATATTGGGTTCTCTTTCGAGTCTCTAGAGTTTTCATGTGTGAATATTTCCTGAATTTTTCAGTTGTAAGTTTTTTGTACTGCTATATATATATAACTAATTTATTAAACAAGAAACATAAACAAAAAGGCTGACGAGGCATATCCTCTTCCAAACATGATGCTATGACGGATGTCACGGCTAGGTACCAGCTATTTGACAAGCCATCACTTTAAAAATGATCAAACTATCCCTTTAAAGACTAATAAAAGTACTTTCAAACCAAACCCACCAAAACCTGATAGTGACCTGTTCATGTCGGAGCTTTAACTGTTGAAACTATTTTTAGAATCTGTTGTTGGTCTGAAGTGCAGGAACAGTTTTCAGTTTTTGCGGATCACAGACGTGCACAGTTCATGTTGTCTGCTTCGAATCTCAAGACAGAAATAAATTAAAAAATATTTGTAATGTTCACTTTAGTTTGAAGTCCAATTAATCAGTTATCTTTGTACAGTTAATACTGAAGCTTTAATGTTTACTCATTTGAGATGATGATCAGAGGAGGGTTTGTCCGTCTCAACACCCAGGGTGTGTTGCCGTGTGGATCGTCAGGGTCGAAGCAGATGGACGCTTGTCCTGTGCCTGGTTCTGCTAGAGGTTTCTTCCTCATGGCGGAGTTTTTCCTTTCCACTGTCGCCTTTGTGCTTGCTCAAGATGAGAGTCTGCGATGAAGTTAAACTTAAAGCAGTCTGCTGCTCACAGATATATAATGTTGACTTATTTTTTATATAACCCTGACCCTTGAGGCTCAATGAGACTAACGTGTATAAATAAAAGTTGAATGAATATATGAATGTTTCTGTTCGGTGCTCTGAGATGACTTCTGTTGTAACGTGGCGCCATATTAATAAACTGAATTGAATTGAATTGGATGTTCAGCTGGTAAATATCTCATTAACCACGGGACCTTTTATTACTTTCTTCTCCTTTATGTACTGAAATTTCTCCCTCAGGTTGTTTTCATTTCTGAATGGTTCTTTGGAAAATGAACTGAATAAAAACCCTTTTTCCAATTACTAACTCTGAAATTCTCCTTTTTAAGGTTTAAAATGGGTTTTAAAAGGAGGTTCAGAAATCAAAATTGAATCATGTTTATTTATTTATTTATTAACCTTTATTTAACCAGGCAAATCCCATTTTGAAAGGCAGGCCTGGGCCTGAAGGCAGACTAACATGCATGTGTTTGGTCTGTGGGAGGAAACTGGAGTACCCGGAGAAAACCCATGCAAGCACGAGAAGAACATACAAACGCCACACAGAAAGACGTGAGGTCCAAACAGGGATTGAACCCTGGATCTTCTTGCTATGAGGCAACATTGCTAACCACTGATCCATCGTGCTGCCAGGTTGACAAAATTCAATCAAATATATATATAATTTTTCTCTCTTTGCATTTTGTGCAGCATTTTCTCTCTGTGTGGTTATAAATTGTCTAAATGAGCTGATATAGCAGTCTGTGTCAGGACAAGCTCTACACGAGGTATTAAAACAGTTTTTTGAACACTGCAAAGTTTTACAGCCGTCGTCTTTGATCGGAACGTCTCCACCTTACAGACAAAAGTTATAATCAGTGTAACTTTGCTAGAAAGCAAGACAGAATGCCCGTCAGACTTACCCAGGCCTTCAAAAGTCCCCCAAAAAACTACAAGGCCAAAAAATATCCCAAAACCACGCACGGCCATCGTTGTTCCGAGACGGCTCTAATCCATGTCAGTGCTCTGTGTTTAAATATAAAGTGTGAGGCTGAGAAAGACTGCGAGTAAAGACTGACGGGAAGAGCCTTAAATCCCCCCCCTCCTATCAAACACCATGACTGTTGTCCAACCCGACCGTCGGTATCTGCGTCTCAGATTACACAGCAGCTGGAGGCACTAAACCAGGACTTCAAGTCCTACTCCAGCCATCTACAATAATCATCACTCAGATCATTAAACAGTTACAGCCCTGGGCAGACCTGTTCTCACTGAAAGAACGAAAGAGATGAAACATTTAAACCTTGATGTTGCTTCATGGGTGATCTGGATTTGTTGGGTTTAAACTGGAGGGAAAGAACAGACCCGTAAACCTCATGAGCGCAGGAAGGAGAAACAGGTGACTGTGTGAGGGCCGGCTTCTCCGCTGCTATGTGCCGAAGTATTAATACATCCTGTAGTCTTCTAGCACTTCGGCTGCAGGAGCGCTGATTGCAGCTGGAGGTAGACGATGCTCATAAAACCATTAAAACTGTGAAGATGGGAGTTCTGATCGTGACGTCGGCCAGAACGAGTTCCCAATTAGCGCCCGTTACGATCGTGAGCGCGTTGAGTTGTTGAAGTTGTGTTTCTGTTGTGGAAAGGGCAACAATCTGTGTTTTGGAATGTGCCATGTGAGTTGCTCAATATGTGATGTACTTCTAAATATACAGTTGGGTAAACAGAGACGAGCTTCTTGAAGGTAACTGGAGCTGCCAGATGGCACGACTCAGAGACTGACGGAGGGCCGGGGGGGTCCAGCTTCAGTCCTAACACTTCTCTCCTCAAGATTTTAGTGTTTATGAACAGAAAACGGAACACACTGGGATAAAAGCCTAGTGAGGGACTGCATATCCTCCGAGTTTCCCCGAGATCATTTTATGAGAAGTGATGTAGTTATAGCCATTTTAGGCAATCCTTGTAAATTAAATCGGATGCAATCGCATGCAGTTTTGTGAGAACTTGCAAAATGTGTTCGCCCTCAGAGTATGTGCTGATGATGACTCTCAACTACTATCATAAAATCTGAGATCTGTAAATATGACGGAGTCATTCCAATTTTTTGTTTTGGCTAAGGTTGGTTACTTGTGGCAGCCACCTTGAGTTGGATCGACTAAAAAAGTTGATCCGTCATAGATATGCACCCAATAATTACTTTTTGGGGTTTCATTCAACTCTCTCTGGTAGTTCATGAGATATTTTGCTAACAGACAATCTAGCAAATAATGCCAAGGTGTTAAACTTGGTGCAAAGTCCAGAGTTTGGAGTATGTGTTGAGGATGACTCTCGGCTACTACCACATCGAGGTTTAGGTCAATGTCTGTTAAATTGACCGAGGTAGAGACATTTTTGTGTTTGCCAAGGATGCTTAGTTGTGGCAGCCATCTTGAATGGTCTCGACTAAGAAAGTGAATCTGTTGCAGACGTATACATGATTACCTTCTGAGAGCTTCATTTAATGATGGCTTGTTTCAAGATAATGTTTAGTGGGAACAAATGCTCTGAAAGCAATTAGTTTGGACTGTGAGCTGAAAGATAAAAGTGGGAACAATTGTTTTGTAAGGAAGTAAATTTAATTAAAAATTCTAAATATGCCAGGCTTGCCAAGAATGTATTTATATTTTTTTAAACAAAATTAAAAAAAAAAATGGCAGTATGTTGCAAAAAATGTTTTTCTATAGAGTGGAAGGAAAACTTTGAATGTTTCTGTCAAACAAAAAAAGGTTAATATTTAAAACAAACTTTGATCCACAAGCAATTAGAGATCAAATTAACAGTTTACAACCTTAGTTCATTTGTTTGGTTTTTTCCATTCAAATCTCTGACGGAGGAGTTTCCCCTGCTTTGCTGCAACACAACATGGGATTAAAATGCATTTCATTATATCCACTACTTATAGTTTCAGTTATAAATCAAATAAAAGGCAAATAAAAAATAAAATAAAAAACTGGAAAATTTTACAAAGCTGCTAATTCGTAAAAAAAAAAAAAAAAAAATTTAACAGCAACTTCAGCAGATCTCAGTGTCCCGGATAAGAGAGAAGATAGAACTTTATTGATCTTGCAGAACATTGTTGTGCCAGAGTTTCAGTACAAAAGGAACATACAAGATTAAAAACAAGAATATAAAAATGCCAACAAAGTCTAAAACAGGTCAAGTGCAGACAGAAACAATTTATTGTAGAACAGGATTAATGTTATTGTCCTATGTGTAGAAAGTGGGAGAAGTTGAAGAGTTTGATATCCACAGGGAGGAAGGACTTCCCGTGTTCTGTGGAGCACCTCGGTGGTTTCAGTCTACGACTGAAGGTGCTGCAGTAAGAGTCCAGGGTGTCATACAGTGGGTGCGACTTGTTCAGGATCTGGAGCAGTTTCCTCAGCATCCTCTGCTCAGACACCTCTGTCTGCAGGTCCACTCTCAGAACTGAGCCAGCTCCCTTCATGAGTTTGTAGAGTCTGTTTGGCATCAGCTTTCTTCACCCAGCACACCACAGTGTAGAAGATGACACTGGAGATCACCGAGTGGTGAAACATCTGCAGCGTGGTCCTGCAGATGTTAAAAGACCCGAGTCTCCTCAGAAGAAAAAAGGAGACTGCCTTTTCTTGTAGAGGACGTTGGCGTTAGCTGTCCAGTCCAGTTGGTGGACCCCCAGGTACTTGTAGCAGTGCAGTGTCCACCTTAGTACCCTTGATGTTGAAAGGGTTTGGGGATAATCTTCCTGTAGTCCACCTGCAGTTCTTTAGTTTCTCCAGTGTTGAGTTGCAGGTGGTTCTATCCACACCGCTCCACAAAGCTTTCTCTGTATTCTGCTTCCTGGACACCAGTGATGCAGCCCTCAATGGCAGAGTAATCCGAGCACTTCCGCAGATGGCAGGATTGGGAGTTGACCTGAAATCTGAGATGTATAGTGAACAGAAATGGTGAGAGGATGTGAGAAACACTGAAATACTCCAAGTTTTCCTTCAAATGAACAGTTTGTTGGTGTGTAGACATCCCTGAATCCTGTCACGGTGAATGTTGCTCACTTGTTTAAATCTTTAGTTTTGTTCAACCACACAGGCCCTAAAGAAGTTTTATTATTCTTTTAGCTTTTCCCTCTTCAGGGGTTGTCACAGGGAGTCATCCTCCTCCATATGTCCTCACTCCATCTACCTCCATGTCCTCTCTAACTGCATCCATATATCTTGTCTTTTTCCTGGCAGCTGCACTTCTAAATGGCTGACATGGCAGCAACTCGCACTCTGGAGACTGGAACACGACAGGACTCATCAAGACAGGACAGGGTAGACCCAACGATGACGCAAAAAAGGACAAGACTCACAGACAGGCTTAAATATACAGACAAGACAGGACGTGATTACAAACAGCTGCGAACAGGAGGTGGAATTAATCAAGAATAATGAGACACACAAGGGTGCACTGACAGGGAAGGCCCACAAGATGGCGCCACCCCAACTAAGACAGGTCAAATGTGTGTAAAAGTTGTTTAATATTTTAAGTTCAGCTTTTGCAAATTATTGTACATAGTTTTAAGAACTAGTTATTCAACTTAAAATGTATTTTTAAAACCATTTTACGTGGTTTCAAGTAATTGTTCATTTACATTATTTAAGTATTCCCTTGATTTAAAAAAAAAAGTGTTTGTTTTTGCATAATTTAATTTATTTTATGCGTCCAAGTTATTTTATCTGTTGTTTAGTTACACTACAAATTATTTTGAACATTACTGTTGCAGTTCTTTGGACCCAAAGATAATAAACCAGATGACACTTTTATTGTAAAATACGTTGCATATAGTTGTTTTTTTTCTTTCTTTTGCTACGTTTAGTACCGCTACACATATAGAATAATGTTAACAGGGCCGTCAGAGTTGCAATGAGTTTATGTTAGGCGGGTGAATGATCTGATCATCTGACTGTTGATTGCAGTAATCCACATTATTAGCAGAAATAGAGGGCCCCAAACCAAATTTTGCTTAGGGCCCCATTGAGGTTTGGGCCGACACTAGAAAGGCAAAAAAAAAAAAAAAGCATGCACACAAGAAATGTACAAAAATTAGCTAGCTTTTTATTATTAATAATCCATTGTCATACAGCTTGTCTGGTCATCTGTCTGTCATCAGTCTGTAATCCTCTCTAGGCTCACCGATGTCTTCAGTTGAAGCTTCCCTTCTATATTTGCTGGTGATAAGGTTTTACTTTCATATGCTTGTGGGGTACAAAAACACATTCTACTCTGGCCCCAAAAGGTTACTTCAGTAGAAGCAGTGTATAAAAAGTCACGCCGTTGTCCATTCAGTAGGAACTACTCTGAACTGATCATCTGTTGTTGACCCAGTTCTCTTTTATGGTTCCATCATAACATTTCAGTGTTTAAGGGTTGGACTTTGACAGCTTTATTGTTAGAGCTTTATTTTGGCTTCCAGCCATTACAATATATATTTTCTGCTGTTTGAGGATCATGGTCTTGATGCATGGTTCAGTTAAATATTAATATAGTTCACTAATGACTGCAAGGTGTCCTGTTGCTACTAAACAAGTCCAAATCATCAGCCGTCCACCTCCGTTCCTGATATAACTGATGTTTGTGTGCTGATGTGTCTAGCAGTGATTCAAACAAGCGTTCATTTTCATTTATACTGTTAAAAACAAGTTACCAAGACCCGTAGAGTCTGAAATGTAGCTCTCAAGTTTATCTCAAAGGACGAACGTCCTGAAGTGTCCCCTCAATGGTTTAAATGTTTGCCACATGCCTAAAAATGTCTCATTTTATGAAATATAAACCTCAGATGATCAGAAAAGTTCTTACAAACATAAGTAGATTGACCAATAATAACACTGTTCAAAATCATTGCTAACGTCTTAATGACTATTGCAATGGTTTGTTATCTGGGTGTCCAAATACTTCTTTAAAAAGTCTTCAGTTAATCTAAAATTGGCTCCCTGTCAAATGCAGAATTGAATAAAAAATCTTACTTCTAACCTACAAAGCTCTCAACAACCTAGCTCCATCTTATATTA